TTATGCACAAATGATCAGATTATCGAATCTTTGTATGATATGAGTAAAGATTGATAGTCTTAAACAGAATTGGACACACCATGCATAGTATTGTTATACAATCTTCTGGCATAGTCTGTCTTAACTATAAGAGACTATCTGATATCTTGTATTGTTGTACTAGTAGTACACTTTGTGTATTGAACAGAACCATTTTTTATGTTATTATCTTAAGAAAATAAATACTTCATAGTTATTATGAATGTCTCAGCTCTTAAGCCTAAAATATTTAATGGACACGTGAATATAATGGTTGTTACTTTAGTTCATTAAAGAGTGAGATTCATATTTGAGTCAACAAACTCAGTGAATTAAAAGATAACATTGTCTGTTTGGTGAAAATTAATTATTAAAGAAAACCATGTCCTAATATTTGAATGGGTTGATGATGTCCTCTTGAGTAAGCTCATAAGTTTTGTACATGTCAAACCTATTGGTAGATTTAATTATTCGAGATGACGAATAATTTGAGTGATAAGATCTTAAAGATAAAAAAAAAAGTCAATTAAATATAATTGTCAATAATTTATTTAATTGATGGGCATCTGTAATCTTAAATGTGAGGAGATTATTAAGTATATAACAATAAGGAACTTGAAATATAATTTTGAGATAGGGCCTGAGAGATCAATAATAAGTTTTTAGGGGACAACTTATTATTAATGGACCATAGGATATTTGTTATTGATTGGACATAAGATTCCTAGACCTATTGTAAGACTGACCCTTATTTCTCTTTAAGGTCTCTACTGTAACTTATAAATAAACTCCCTTTTTGGTTCTATCAGCCATACTTTACATTCACATTTAGAAGAGGCAAAGAGAGCAATAGAGAAAATTCAAAGGATTGCAACCCATACTGCATTCAAGGTTTTGGCATTGAAGGACATACAATAGAAGATCATGAGGTCTATTGAGCAGATTGTTCAATCTACATTAGTCTTTGTTTATGTTGTCATCGTCAAAGGTAAACCCTAATTCTGTCTTGTAAGGTTAACAAAGAAATTTTGTATTCGATTTATACGCGCCATCAATGGATAAAAAAATACTTAAGTTCCAATGCCAGCAAGCACGCGGAGAGTATCAACGGGCTTTGAATGTTGAACAAGAGTCCCAAGTGAAGTAGTGGGTACTGTTTTCAGGAATAGTGGTTCGTAACCAAGTGAAGTTAAATTTTGATGGGGCTTTTAATAGGTGCATCAATTTGGCAGTAATGGGCATTGTTTTGAGGGAAATGAAGGAAAATATGCTTGAGGGAAAGGCTAAGAAAATTCCAACCATATCAAGTTTATTTTTAAAGGCCTTTGCTGTGAGAGAAACATGTTTGCTTGCAGATCAATGGAATACATGTTATACCATTGTCAAAAAGCGCTAACAAGGATGTAATCTCTCTAAGTTCAAATGAAGATGATCCACCTTGGGAGATTGATACCTTGATAGGAGACATTAAAGTTTTTAAAAAGAAGCTACGGTTGCACTTCTACTATAAACCTAGAGCCTTTCACAGGGCAACTCATCAAGTCGCAGCCAAGGTTATGTCCAATTCACTTCCTTTGGATTGGGCTAGTTGTCCACCAGTTAAGTTAAAGGCTATTTTGGTTGATGGATTGTAATTTTCTAGATTCAAGTTAACATGAATATAGTTATGTTTTGAGTAAAAAAAACAAATACAATCAAGTGGTATGCAATTAGCAATGCTTTTATACTTGAAATTTTCGGTTAATGGAAATATCTTTACCTACCGAAAAAAGGAACATGAGATTTACCTCTTCCCCCACCCCCCACCCCATGCCACCCCACCTCACCCTATCAAACGCCTTCCCCTTCTACTTGATTTCAATTGGAAAACTTGATGATGAAGGATATCATAATCACTTAGGTGATGGAAAATGGAAACTTAGCAAGGATTATCTTATTTTAGCCAAGGGAAAGAAGATTAACACTCTATACAAGACTAAGGTAAATATAATCAAGGGTGACGTAAACGTAGTTGAGTATGATTCTTCCATAGAGCTATGGCATAGGAGACTTGGCCACACGCCTGAGAAGGAACTTCAAATTCTTGCTAAGGAGCAGCTCCTACATTACGTTAGAGGTATGCCACTAAAAACCTTGCACTCACTGTCTTGTTGGAAAAAAGAATAGAGTTGCATTTGTTAAATCCCCTCCCTCTAGGAAAATTAGTGTTCTAGATTTAGTAAAAAATGATGTCTACTATATGAAAACAAAATCTATGGGTGGTGCATTTATATTATGTGACTTTTATTGATGATCACTCTAGAATGGTGTGGACATTTGCTTTGAAAACTAAAAGACAAGGTACTTAATGTATTCAAAATTTTTCATGTAAAAGTTGAAAGGGAGACATGAAGGCAACTTGAGTGTGTCCATATAGATAATGGTGGTGAATATCGTGGACCTTTTGCAAAGTATTGCAGAAACCATGGTATTAGACTTGAGAAGGTTGTTCCAAAGACCCCACATCATAATGGGGTAGCAGAGAGAATGAATAAAACGATTTGTGAGAAAATCAAATGTATTCTATCTCATGCAAAATTTTCTACATCATTTTGGGGTGAGGCAATGTGGACAACAGTTGATTTGATTAATCTTTCTCCATCAGCTCCTTTGGAGGGTGATATTCCTGAAAAAGTTTGGAGACGTAAGGATGTTTCTTTTAAGCACTTGAGAGTGTTTGGTTACAAGGTATCTATTCACATTCCTTATGATGAAAGATGCAAGCTTGATAGTAAGGCTAACTAGTGTATCTTCTTGGGTTATGCACATGAAGAATTTGGTTACAGATTGTGGGATCCAGTTGGCAAAAAAATTGTTTGAAGCAGATTTGTGGTTTTGTTTGAAAACCAAACCTTTGAAGACTTGGAAAGGTTTAAAACTCTAAAGTCTTTCAATGAGAAACTTATTGATTTGGGTCCAGTTTATCCACCTATTATGCATGATGACCATAGGGGAGATGTCCAAGAAGAACAGGTTGATACAGCTGATGAAATTGGTGAACAAGCAGTTGATGTTGATCAAGTACTTGCCTTCCAGAGCCACCTTAATATGTTGAGTCAACTCCTCCAGAGCCACATGTTGAGACTCAGTTAAGAAGATCTATTTGAGAGCATCAACCTCCCAAATGGAATTCTCTTGAAGAGGTTTTGTTACACACTCAGAAGGAGTGGTAGAAAGCCATGCAAGAGGACATGAAATCCTTGCACGAGAATCACACCTATGAGTTGGTGAAACTACCTAAGAGTAAGAGAGCACTCAAGAATAAATTAGTGTTCAAATTGAAGGTTGAACTAAATAGCTCACAGCTTAGGTACAAACCAACACTGATTGTGAAAGGTTTGGGTCGAGAAAAGAGCATTGACTCCAGGAAATCTACTTTAGATTACCTGATTACTTATTTAGAGGGAGCAATGCCATGACAGTCTAAGTTATAGATAGGTGTTGTTTTAGCTATCATAGAGATTGAGTATATCGTTGTCACTAAAGTAAGCAAAAATCCAACTTTCTATTCAAGATCTAAGCATATTAATGTGAGATATCACTGGATTTGTGGTATATTGGGGATGAAGTTATTGCCGCTTGAAAAGATCCATACTGATGAGAATAGTTCAAATATGGAGACTAAACCATTAGAGAAGGAAAAACTCGATGTTTGTCGAAACAAAATGGGCTTGGTTATGCCCCCCACATGAGCTGGAGGGGAAGATGGTTGGGTTTAGGTCCAGCCCATGTCGGCAACCAAACCTATAGCTCCTGGGTTAAACCCATAATAAAACAAAAAGACAATAACGTGGTCAACCACATGGGGACCACATGAGAAGAATACATATTGTATTCAACTAGGTTTGTTTTGCCATATAGAACCCACTCGGTGGAGGCGGCTAATTGTGGGCGAAAAACAGAAGCTTTTCGCCGAAACCGAGAGGAAGAAAGGTATTCGGGTAGACAGTTTTTGAGCTAAAACTCGGACAGGCTGCCAGCGTCTGATTTTGATGAAATTTTAATACATTATTCAGGACAACGAAAACTATATAATGATTAATTTATTTTTCTGAAAGTCTTCTCGAATTGACATCGTAAGACCTATTAGATTACATCTCTTCTTGTTATTTTGTTGATACCCATTTTCAGGTAATGAATTGCTTTAATAATCTCTGAGAATTATTCTGGGAGAATTGTCATAAACTCATTATTCTGTAAAAAATTGAGATTGATAGTCATGGATGTACCCCGAGTTTGGGGAACCACATAAATTTTATGTTTTGTTTGTTGTTAGTTTATTCTCTACTTTTATTTTTGATTGATTGATTGATTTTGGTACATCGCCGATTTAAACAGCATAAAGAGGGATAAAAAAATTAATTCCGCAATTTTTTTGTGAGTTCACCCTAGAACATTCTGTGTGTTGTACATTGCTACAGAAGTAAAATTAATTCTCATTTCTCTGAATAAAAGAAAAGAAAATTACGGAAGAATCAATCCAATCAGCACACCACACACCACTTAGTAAAAGCATACAATCACAATGTTATGCATGCACTAAAAATTATGGCATGTGCTCAATAAATTCACAAAAGAGAAAATCCAAATTCGTTGTATCGTTAGGTTATTCAAAACTACAAAGCCTGGTGTATTACTTTCCGAGGATCTACGAGTCAAAGTTCCCAAAATTCATAGCTAATGAGGAAGCAACCTCTCACATGCTATTGTTGAACTTCTGTTAGACCCTAATACAATTTCCACGCGTCATGTGCCAATAGAAATTGCAAAAAAACAAAAAAAGAAAGAAAAATAGAAAAAAGTCCTATCTTTCTTAATTCATCTAGTATAGAAGGAAGGAAGGAAAACCAAAAATCAAAATCAGGAAATTACTTTTGTCTACTTCAATTTCTTTCCCTTAACCCAACTCTATTCCCATCCATACTTCACCTCTTCTGTTATTCTTATGTATCATTAAACACACCGAAAGTTGGAGCTGCATGACAAACTGCCATATTGTTAGTCCTTGGTGCAAAAGTTGGTACTGCAGTAGGCACCCAATCATTACAAGTCGAGCCCTGATCATAAATGCTAGCCTTCATCGTACCTGCTGATGATTGCTGGGAGAGATAATACAAGTTCCTTGCGTGATAAGAATCCATTGATCCGTAGAAGTTTTCATAGCCAACAGGCTTCACCTCATTTTGTCCAAAACCATTTCCATGACTTTGGTTGCCTTCTTGAGCAACAATTGTACCCACCGGCATTACAAATCCCCCATTGTTTCCAAACCCGACCCCTTGAAATGCAGCATTTCCACTTCCACTACTACCATCGCTGACTCCATTGTTATAAATAACAGAGTTAGAGCCAGAGCTATGCTCCATTGAAGTGGAGTCCAAATTCATGAGATTGTGCATAACAGAAGGCTGGAAGAAATTGTGTGAGTTCCCCAATTGAAGTTGATGAAGATCTTGAAAGCTGTAGGTGGCGTCAGAGTCCTGTTCTTGCTTACACCATACCCTTTGCTGACCATATGGATAGTGCATGCTAAATGGCTGTGCTTGTTGGAATGCAATGGTAGGCCAGCCACAGTGTGAGATGTAGTTATTTCCATCTGTTAGATGTGAACTGATGTTGCCTTCATCAGTTCCCTGCGTATCCAGTGTCATTTCAGCCTGCTCGGCATCCTTGAGACGCTTAGCGGCTCCCCCAATGGGCAAAGTGCTGCTCTCAAGTATGCTTTTAACATCATATCGGTTGATCTCAAAGTTAGTAACGGCATTCAATCCCCTGAATTTAATGGCCGCAATGTCATAGGCCTCTGCTGCTTCCTCCTGTGTGCCTACAGTGATTATTAAAAAGAATCCAGCAATAAGAATACATTGATCACAAGATGAACCAATTAGTTATACTTCTATAACTATACAAACAAATATAACAAGTGTGCAATAGACCGTCATCATCATAAAACTGATTGTTTTAAGTACTGTAATTAGAGTTTTTGAATTTCAACTTTTTATCTTGAGGGAAAGATTGATTTTATCTTTATTATATCAAATGATTGATTTTTTTCCTTTGACCATTTCAATGTTAAAACAACGACTTGATTGTGCTTTTCCTAAATTTACCACACAATCTGTACCAAGCCTTATTTATACGAATAAAAAACATTACTTCGGGTTGAAGATTAGGAAAAAGAAAAAAACTTTGACTGTCACCTATTATGAACATCACAATGCATAATGGTGCAGCAGACCGAACCTTATTTATACGAATAAAAAACATTACTTCGGGTTGAAGAGTAGGTAAAAGAAGAAAAAAACTTTGACTTTCTCCTATTACGAACATCACAGAATGCATAATGCTGCAGCAATTTTCGGCCAGTATAATACTTGATTGCCTAGTTTTAAATAGAGTACAAGGTTTGTTGGGTTTTATTTAGCATTTTTATTCTTCTAATTGTTGGTGTGATTTTCTCACTCAGTTTTTTCATTATTTATTTTATTTTTTCATTTTTTTTTGTGTGTGTGTGTGTGCGTGTAAATCCTTCAAAGCAGGGGAATACAAGTATAGCGAGGATATACTAAACTGAAAGTTCCCAAGTAAAGATCCTTGTTGCCAGCAACTCTTCCAATCCTTGCTTGCCATCTTCCATGCTGATGGTGCCTGTTATTGGGCAAAACAAAAAAAATTAATTAAATAACATTGCATCATCAAACAATTTTTTTTTTCATATATAACTATTCTTTGTTTGTTGGTAAGTAAAAAATTTTATTCTGAAAAAACAAGACATACACTGCAGGCTTTTCTATCATCTCTATAATAATAAGCCACAATGCAACATGACATGATAGCTTGAGGCCCTTTAGTCCATTTGAGTTGAAGAGATCAATAATTTGGTCAGGTAAAGGCAATTATTTTTTAATTGAATACCCAAAGAATCTGTCATATGCAGCTGGCTGCTGCTCCAAACATTGCGCTTAAAAGTTTTCACCAATATGTGTCACTGTACTGTGCAATTAGGCTACGCTATTGACGTAAATCACAGTATCAAATGTGATAGTAACATCATCCAGACCACCAAAAAACTGGAACCTGAGAAAATGAAATAAATACAAATCTTGGAGGAAAAAAAAAAGGCGTGTTTGCTATTAAGACCATTTTACCTTGTCACTCCTCGATAAATGGATGCACCGCGAGAGAATCCGCTACTTTTCCTGGACCAAAGAAAATGATTCATTGTATCGTTACTTTCTTCTATTCATCCAACACCCAAAAAGATAAATAATACACTCTCCCTTTTAGCATCGTTAATGTGTTTAGCAATTTCAGTGTACCTTCGTAGAGATGCAACATACTCCTGTCTTGTCATGTGCTTCATGTCTTCCAACTCTTTCTCATAGTTGCTAATCTGAAATTACGCAAATGAGAAAAGTAATCAAAGAGAACCCACAAAAAAAAAATAGCAAAAAGAATTTGAAAATGCATTGCAAAGCTGGTCCACTCCTGATTATGGGGACAATTCTTTAGAATGATAAACAAAATTTGATTAACACCCTCAAACACACATACTTATTGACTATTTTTCAATAGCTTAGATATATTCTGCGGGATTAATAGCGCAGAAACTTACAGGGAAATTTGTAGTGGTAGTAGTACCCCAGTACTTCAGTGCTGCTAAATCATAAGCTCTGGCTGCCTTTTCTTCCTTGTCATAACCTCCTATATTTATATGGAACAACACAGATCAGCAACATCAACCTTTCAACGCTTAACCAACAAAAAAGAAAGAAAAAAAAATGGGGAAACAAAAACCTTCGATCTCATGCATCACAGTATCATTTTAAAAAGGGGGAAATAGAATATAGCTGAAAAGGCATAATAGAATAGCTCCCACTTACCCAAATAAACTGCAAGAAGATTGAACCAGCCCCACAACAAATCATAGGAAGACCCAGAAAAGGAAGCACGAATCAGTAAAAGCATACATAAAAACAATCTGATAAAACTAAAGAAATTAAATAAGTGCACACAACAAATCATACCTTGCCTTCCTTTACGAGTTTGTCCTTCTCTTCTACAGCTGTTATCCCACAGATGTGCCTCATATCTACCTGTCCATCTATGTCTGCACCCACAAAACCTCAAAAATTAATATACACCAAATAAAATTATTTTTTTCAACCGAAGTAAATATAATGGAGAAAATACATATTCGAAGTGTTACAATCAAGAGAAAGAAGCATCACCAGAAACGGAGGATGTTTTTGAAAGAAGAAACCCAAATGCTCAACAGCTCTACATAATATAACTGGTTACCTTGTAACACCACGATAGATAGAAGTTCTCTGTCCAAAAGTGTCAATAGACTTCCGAGGCACTGTCTCTATTGCACCACTTTGAATGTCCAGAGCCGTCACATTCTGCTGTTTATTCTCCGAAGTAGAACTCTCTCCTCCGCTAGCACCAGCACTTCCTGTCCAAATCGGTAAGGGAGAGCTCGATTGTGACCCAGTGCTCATCGAAAGTGATAAAGTCTGGCCATTAGTCTCCGTAACTGCGTTCCCGTTGTTCTTGTTCTCCGTCGGGTTTGGGTTATTCCTCAACCAGTTTTTTATCATAGATATGCCAATGGTGTTGCCAGTGATGTCACCACCACCATTACAACTTGCTCGGAAGTCACCAGCTGTGGCCTCCGCCGGTTCCAATGGAAGCTGCAATGAACAACTGGGATACAAGTACTCTCCGTTTCCGTCACAAGCTGAACCGGCTGTGTTGCGTCCTGGAAGTTTCCGTTTGTTATCAGAAAAAGAGTGTGCACCCACACCGAGGAAGTTTTCGAGCTTTGGCTCTTGGGTTTCATGGGTTTGACTGTTGCATGAACTACCCAGTAGAATAGATATCTCTGAGGTGGTCTTGTAGTTAGTATCAGTGTTCAAGCCCATATCTTTCATATTCCAAGCTGTCGGAAAAAGAAAACGGAAGATCAATACCCAAACATATATAGATAGATATATTTCTAGGGTATTCCTGTTTCGTCACTTAAAAACTTGGGGAAGGTGTTTCAATAACTGAACTAACCTTGTGATTGATTGCTCCTGTCGAAGTCTTCTAGTATTCCAAAAGGGGGTGGAAGGTTTAGAGAAGGAACGGTAGAGGCAGAAGTGAGGTCAAAGCAATCATTGGAGACTTCATTTCCAGAGATTTCATCTGAGTTGAAACCAAGACGAGAAACCGAAGTTTGCGAATGATTTTGAGACTGTGATGGGAGTTCTTGAGGGGAAAGGGAGAAACCCAACCAGTTGTTCATGGGAGCCATTAATGGTCTCTGTGGCTAAGGTTGCACTACCTGGTGTTCAAGGAGATATACAGATTAGTAGTTCATGCATGAAGTGGAGAGAGAAACCATGAGTTCTTTGAGGGAGGCGAAAGAAACGGAAAAGTCTGAAAAATGAGGAGAAATCATCTCTTCCAAGGCAAAGTGAAGATTTATATGAATCCTACCCCATTCTTTCCCTCTCCAACGGGTCATAAATTGGTGTGGTGCCCCTCTAATTCAAGGGCAGTGGTAACTCTGATCTCAAAACCCTCTACTGTTTTTGGCTAGAGCAGAAATCAGTAGGTTGATAAGGGGTAGTGTGGTATTTTCAACAAAAAGTTATGTTAATTACTCTGATGTGGCCAAAATAAGTGTAAATAAAAGATTGTGGTAATTGCATTGTAGGTCACCGAAGTATAAAATTTGTCTTATTTTTATCTTCAATGTTTCAATTACATTATTTTAATCTTTAAAGTATTGAATATATTTTTATGTGGTCCTTTAATCGAATAACATCTAGATTGCAAACAATTTTTTATCAAAATTTGTTATGTAATACCTAAATATGAGTAAAAAAATATTTTGAGTCGCTCTTGATTAAAATTTGGGTTACTCTTGACTAAGATTTGAGTTACTCTTGACTAAAAATGTGTAATAATAATAGCTCTTGATCAAAATTTAGATAGCTCATGATAAAAATTATATCATTTGGATAGTTTTTTGACCAAAATTTTGATAGAAATTTGGTCAAAAGCTATATAAATTACTTTTTTACTCATATTTAGATGTTACATGACAAATTTATGATCAAAAAATATTAGTAATCTAGACACTATCTGCTTGTGAGATTATATAGAAATATATTCAATATTTTTATAAATTAAAATGATGCAATTGAAATATTAGGGATCAAAATAAGATAAACTCTATACTTTGGGGACATTTAGTACAATTAGCTCTAAAACATTTTAGTATAACCTAGCCTCTACCCATTCTCTCTGTCTCTCTCTCTCTTATATATATATATACTAATCACAATCCGTACCTGAAGGCATAATAAAATATAAAATTTGGGCGTTCAAAAAATCGATCTCATTATATTATTTTTTTTAAATATATTAACTATAAATTAATCAAATATTAAATAATTAAATATATGATAGAAATAAGTGATGTGATATTTTTAAGGAAGAAATATATAAATGATTAAATATATGATAGAAATAAATGATGTGATTTGACATTTGAGTCTAACAAAGGGATGATGGGTGAGGTAAATGATTGATGATGATTTTAAAGAGGAAAATATTACTAGAATAAAATTTAAACATACTCCTATTTTATTATTTATATATATATATATATATATATATATATGTCAAATGCATTAGAGCTTTTTTCTCTAGGTAATTATATTAAATTGGTCTAAAGAAGAAAAAAATATGTATTATAGTCAAAAGTTCAAATTTTTTAATAAAAGTTACTCCTAACCTAATTCAGACAACTATTTGCACAAAAGGTTTTAAGTCAAATTATATTGGTTAATTAAATTTATACTAAGATTTTTTAAAATTAATACAAATAAAATATTTTAAAAAAAAATAAAAGTAAAATAGAAAATTAGTTGTACATCACAACTTTCTTGCATTTCTTTATTTTTTTTACTAAAAAGAAAAAAGTTAGTTAATTGTAAGGAAATCCAAGTATTAAAGAAAATTATTTTTTTTCCATCATTTTAACTAAACACAAAAAAAAAAAAAAAATTAAATTAAATTTTTATCTTTTTTTACAATTTATACCATAATTCCACTAAACAAACGGACATGTGAAATGCATTAAGAGTTTACTCAAAAACTTTTCTAGTACAAAATAAAGAAAAATTACGTGGGGGATAACAATAACATGTACCAAAACTTTTCGTTTTCATGTTCAAAAACAGGCATGTAGCAAGTTACGCTTATCTTCAACTTATTTAAAGATACTGATGATGCACAAAAATAATTTTGCACACCACCTGTCAAGTGTAGGTAATAAATGCAGTGAAATCAATGAAAGAACTAAAGAAGACATAATTTATAGTGGTTCAGTCAATTCAACCTACGTCCACTCTTCAATGGCTTCAGTTGCCGGGTATTTTATTAATTTAGAGGTATGGAGAATAGAGATACAAGCTTTGGGAGAATAGAGATACAAGCTTTGAGAGAATGGAGAATCAAATAAAGAGTGGTCTCTGGTCGTCGGTCTGTCCTCTGTAAGTATTTGTGGGGCGTGACCTTCTTCTCTCGTCTCCTCTAGATTGGGGCTACTTTATAGCAGCTAAGAGATCATTTTTGTGGAGATCATGACTTATCCTCAAGGCTATTTTATCGCAGTTAAGAGATCATTTTGGTGGAGATCATGACTTATCCTCAAGACTACTTTATCGCAGCTAAGAGATCATTCTGGTGGAGATCATGACCTATCCTCAACGGAAGGAGGAGGTTGGGGAGCTTTTCATGAAACGTGGTCAAAGCTTGGACCGTTTCCTTCGGTGGTGCAGATAAGTTTCTCATGCTCTCTTCTTGATGACGTGCTAAGCAAAAAGTCTAATCGGTCTTAGACTGTCTTGGGCTTGGTAGATTCAAAATGAGGTTGGACTCCTCAACTGAAGTTGAACTTTAACACATGAATTGGACTATTTGGGCTTAACCCATCAGATACTATTGTATAAGAAGTCATTAACCTAACACATGGGTCGTAACCTATGGGCATGTGGTTTCGTTATCTTAAAACAAACCGCATTCTCCATCGAAACCTTCAAGGATATCCTCGATTCTGTTTACATTAAATAAGCTTGATTATGAATTAAATAACTCTATAGCAAGATTATGTTCCCTCTCTCTCTCTGATCATAAAACTCAGTTTCCTCACCTTCGAAAAAGAAACTCACCTTCCTTGCTGTAGAGCTAGAACACCTGTAGAAGGAAAATGGTATCTGACAAAATGTGACAAAAAAACCCACACGCAGCCCCTCTCCACACCCATTTATTCATGCCCACTTGGACATTAGTCATTTCACTGTCAGAAATGATCTGGTCCTGCCACATCCCTAACCAACCCCTTTTCATTTTTTTGCCATATCTCTCTCTCTCTCTCTCTCTCAGGTATATCCTTCAGACGGCAACACCCATAACTTTGTCACATTGCATCCATCCACATCATTATTCTACTATTATCTTATAGTCCAATTCATCAAACTGCTCCCCCGCTACCAACGGGGGCTTTATCTCTCTCTCTCCCACTCTAAAAAGCCCTCTCAGTACTGTACACATAGCAACAATTCATGCATGACTGACACTTTCTTTTTACTCGATGTAAAGTAACTTGCCTTGACTATTGTACACACAAAAAAAAAAATTTGGTATCATACCTTTAAAATTTATTACTTAAAAATATATTTTTATAATTTTTATGAATTATTTTATAAATTAAAAATTTATTATTTTTGTAGTCGATTTACTATTTTTATAAGTGTTTTTATCACTATTTAAGATATTTTTATTATATTTATGGTAACTATTACTACTTTTCTTAATTACAAAAAAATTTTATCACTTTTATGCTTGATTTATCACACTCGTACATATGTTTACAATATTTATGAATATTTTTGACACTATTATGGTAACTATTTTTACCATTTTTTTGGATAACACAACAATTATAAAATTACCCATAAATGTGATAAAAACTACCATAAATATGATAAATTTTGGTATGATAATTTAAATTTCGATACTATAATCAAGCGCTAGAATCCTTCGTAGGAGTATTTGCTAAAAACAAAAGTGAAAAAACTAAATGGAGTTGGGTTCGGTCTCTGTGCCCCTATACGAGGACACTAATCCTTGTCTTCCGGGCCATTGGACTATTTCATTTTCATTATTTAGGGACAGATTGGAAGAAAATCTTCATTCTTAAGGGATACAACTAAAATTCATAGCCAATCACAAAAATCTTCCATTAAGTACTGTTTCTTTCCCAACTCCCTTTATGTGATTAATCCGATTATTTCTTGTTTGAGGTCTCTCTTTCTCTCTCCACACACACACTCACTCACATACAAATACATTTGAAAGACAACCATGAGTACATGAAAAACAACTTGTCAATATGGTTCATATAAGATTTAGATGAAATCACAAGACCTATTACAGCTTGCAGTGAAGGGTGCTAGTTTATCTTTCCTTTTATCTACTTAATTGGCATGTCGTAGTTTTTTTTTTTGGTATTAAAGTTCTCAAGTTTCAGTCTTAATAAAGGGACAAGGCACACAGAGTCAAAGCATGAAGGCATTGCATTTTTATGGTTAAAAAGACGCATTGCACAATTTGTTTTTCTTTTACTCTTTGGTAATATGTTATTGCAGAAAAGTACATTTTCACAGCTTAAAATATGATTTTCCTAGCAACAATAGATCAACTCACTTGCCTTGAGTTTTGTTGTTGTGTGCCATGATAACTGGTATATAGTAGAATCCTTATACATAAAAATGGGGCAAAGAATAACAAAAATGACGAATCTTATTAATGATAGATCTAAGAGATATTTGCTCAAAGTTTTGTAAATTCTTGTTATATTGAATTGTAACGAGTAGGGTTGTGTCACATTTTTAAGTTGTTCAATCATATTGTACTAAAATTTATAGTTATTTTATCTTAGTTTATACATTATTAACTTATAATTATTTTATGGTGGGATTTATGTTGTATCAGGTTTGTGTCACGTATAAATCATGTTTAACTAGATTTGTCTCTTATTTAGTAAAGTTCAAGTCAAATATATTTATTACACAGGTTTGTCGAGTCAATTCTTTTATGATTAGAAATCTTTTATCGAGTCAAGTCAAAACTAATTTTTGTGTCTAAATGATGAATCATTTTAAATATTGTCAATAATAATAATACTAGTGTTAGTTATGAATATTTTCACTCGAGTTTGGAATTTTTTAAGGAATTACA